ACACTGAACAGATACCGCTGTGTGACGCAGCTTTTCTCAGCTTGTTTAACTCCGACACTGAAGAGGAGGACTTCAATGGTTTCAGTCCACCAGAGGAAGATGAATGAGATGTTTTGTTGGACCAGAAACTGTTAAAGAAAACTACCAAAATAAGGTCAGTTATATGAACCGTATTCCTCCGAACTCTAATTCTTAAAGGTTTGCTTTTTATGTTTTGATGTTGAATTCACTTTTTTGACAACAAATTTGGGTGTACTGTTTTTTTTTATGTTGGGGGTGCAGCTTATAGTCCGGTGCGGCTTATATGTTAATGTTCGCGGTTTTTTTTTTTTTTTTAAATGGCGGGTGCAGCTTACAGTCCGAAAAATACGATATAAACAAATGAGTTCCCACTATTGTTAAGTGTTCTTCTGATTGAATAAAAATAAACAGAATTTATCAGATTTTATTCAAGTTATCCATGGTGTGCTTTTCATACTGAGTTTTTAAAAATTAGAATCTTTTGTGGGGAAAAAATGGCGATATACAGTATCTCCTTGTTTACACTATCACAATACATCGCGATATATCATATCATGAAGCCTGAATCATGATATGTATCATAGCAAATTCTTGCCAATTCACAGCTGTCTCTGTTAGGTTATAAAAGTCAGTTAAATAAGCTTTTTAAAACTTTTAAATTGTGTCAAAAAACTGTAAAATCTAAACAGAAATGAACAGAAAACCAATGTGATGAGGTCATGCTGTTAAAACTTGTGCTCTGAACTGAAGAGACAATTGTTCAAGACAAAAGTTGCGGTCGACCAATCTAGTGGTAATGAAGCATAAATGAGAGCTTTTAAGTCTTCTGGATGATTTTACTTTGTGAAGATTTGACATGACTAATAAAAACTGATTTTGACAGCTGTCACAGTGTTTCAGAGAGACCTTGCTTGGAGTCAAAACTTTACCAAGAGCGATGAAGACGAGCAATAACTCAGTATTATTGTGGCTGCTCTCAGGAAGAGACTGCCTTAATAAACTGAACATTTATATATCACATGAGACATTTTTGTACCTCCAGGTAAATCCAGTTGCGTTGCACAGTGAGAATCATCTCAATGACATCCAGCATGTGAGACAGCTGCTGTTCCCACTGGTTCACCTGCTGCTCAAAGGATTTAACGAACCGTGACGCCTTCATCGTGGACAAAATAACTTGGTTGTCATACAGTGTCTCGAAAATGTCTGCAGTGCCCCTGGAGGAAAGAAAATGGAAAATCGCTATCTGGAACTAGATTAACTGTATTTCCTGCCAAAATGCAGTGTGGATGCTTAAAGCTGAATGATTTTGATGAAATCTGCAGAAGAAGCTGAAATAAACGTTGAACTGTTAAAGCGAGTTAAAAAATTGTTTTAATTATTCTGTGTCCAACATCAACAGGACAGCTGTCCCTGAAAAAAGACCAACATTTCACACTTGAAATGAAGAGTAGTCATGAACAAAGTCAGACTACAGAAGGGATGGCTTTAGGTGCTCAAAAACCTGTCAAAAGTTGGTAAAATAGCGAACAATTAAGGCTGATTATATATTAATGAAAATAAATACCATTAAAACCTATTAAGGACAATCTATTAGTATTAGAGTGTATATAATCTGTCTAATGTATATACAACTGTCAGAAAGCTGTGTGTTATAGATGTAAAAGAGAAACAGTAAAATGTCTCATTTCACAAGTAAACAGATATAATCTCATTTATATCATGTGGATGTGATCTGAGCAGAACTGAAGCTAATAATTGAACAGTTTAAAATCAAAATAAGCTCATAAAGCCGATGTAATAACTGTTAATTATTGAACTGGTTAACAGATATTAGCTTCTGCATAATTTTATACAGAGTGTAGCACTGCTGAATCATGCTTTAACAGAAACTATAAAATATAACAAACTGGTTTTGCCTCTGATTTATAAAATATTTACTGAGTGTAAAATAATATTATATATTAGACTATTTTTAAGCTTCTATTAGAAAAACCTGACCTGTTGAGAAGATGGTTAGCCTATATCAGAATTTTCATCCCTAACCAGGTATGCAGTAAACATTTTCTAACTGTCGACTCGTAAATATTTATTATTGTTATTTATGACAGGTAAGAAATAATAAATGCACTTTTTTTTACTAGTTGAAGGTATAATTTTTAAACTAGCTAAGAAGTCTAACTGACTTCAGGTCTGGCTTAGATCATTGTTACTTATAAATTATATATGTTTCTTGTATAAATTTGCTGTTTTTCTGGATTTTTGAATGCAGCTAACTAAATGAACAATTACATTAATTCCTTGTAAAAATATTACAAATAATTTGTGACACAGATCCAGTTGGGTTTGCTGTTAGTCAAACAGTCTCTGTTGCCCTGTTTAGTCACCATTGTTGCTCACAGTGGACAGGATAGGCGGGGCTCACTCTAGTATTATTTAAATCTATGGGCTCACCTTTAGTCTGAAGTGGCCTTGTTCTTTGTGTGGCACTGCTTCCAGCAACGTGTCCTGCCAGGTCTTGGTGAAAATCAAACCACTGTTGTGTTAACAGACGAAACAAAAACTGAGAAACAGCAAAACGAGATGAAATTATTACTAGAATTATTTCCAACAAGCTTAAATCCAAATGTTTTCCCCGATAAATAATATGTTTAACACTTATAGCCAGCCAACCCCCAAAAGAAGACGCATCTTTATAAATTGTAATGGTGCATTAAAATAAAAGATTTTTTCAGATTTATTTTTAAGGTGTTTTATTAACATCAAGCAGCTGCTAATTTTAGGTTTCACTGAACTCATTGCTCTCTGAATACAGTCCCAGTTTCTAAACACACAATTACTGGGTGAAAGAGAGTCCGTCTGCATTGTTTCTGATTCTTCTCAATTATTTCCGTGTCCAGAACAAACAGAGGAACAAAAGCTACTGCAACTGTTCTATTAAGAGCTCTTTGCTGGCAGCTGCGGAGATTTCGCAGATTTGGTCGGCAAAATGGTCCAGGCCCAGAGACACGATCTTCTCCAAGGTGAATTCAGTGCTGCTGTGGTCAAAGGAAAACTGCAACTTCCCACAGAGCTCCTTCCAGTGTCTGAAAGGAAGTGGTGTTTAGAGTAAAGGTTAGTTAGTCCTTTTCTGCAAAACAGAGGAAGATTTTTAATAGCAAATCCAATCACACATATTAACTACATACTAGAATCTACCCACTTTATAAACAGTATAAACACTTTGAAGAAAGACAGATGAAATTGTTTTTAAACTCTAAGAGTACAAACGTTGGTTTGGTTGTTTTGAGGGGCCTGAATGTTTTCAACTCGTCGGAGAACAGAAACGCTGGGTTTGCTCAAAAAGTTTAAATAAAAAAAATGCAAATAAGTCGAATATGTCGACAAACTTGTATAAAGATATATGAGCTCGACAGATGTTTCCCTTTGCTCTGTAGGAGCATGACTGGCAGAACTAACAGATGGTGCTCAGAGGAGGGGCCGACAGCAGAAAGACAAAAGCAGAATCTGAAAACGAACCCTTTTCCCACAACACCAGCACTTGTTTTCAGAGCCAGGAAACTTTAAAAATACTTTAAACAAACTGCAAAGTGATCTCCTTATCTTTTTAAATACATTTGTTTTACATGTCTCCATTTATGTTTTTTGTGCCTCCATGTTAATGAAGCATCAGACTTAACCCTAAATTATATTTATTCCACAAATTCACAATGTTTTAATAACATAAAGGAATTTTACTTTGCCTTTTGGTCCTAAATAAGTCTATGTTAATTTCAAACTAATGATCTGTGGTGAAATTTTAATAAATTAGGCAAAACAAAGCAAAATGAAATGCATTTTACGGGAAAAAAATGCTGTTAAATAAAAAAAACTGCTTTCAAATGTGAGCCAATATTTTCTGATTAAAGACCGATTGCAGCAAAGGTCTGAACTGTCTCCTGGGAAATAAGCTTCAGACGCTGATGGAGGCTTATTACAGAGGGAGCGTTTAGCTAAAAGGCAGCAGAACAAACTCTAAGAGCAGCAAATAACAGCTTATAGTTTAAGACTTGGAAATCCACTTAATAAAAGTAAAAATCATAAAACAGAGGCTGCTTTTCTGGTATTAACTATCCAACTTATGTAACTGAACTTAATGCTCCTTTAATGTGAACCATCACATGTGTCCAAACTAAACTAAGCACATTTTCAGATTTCATGCCTACATCAATCTGATGTCATGAGCAAAGATGTGGCTTGATTGTTTTGCTAACTGGGAGGACACCTGGAAAATCGTTTGCACATTCTAATGAGGATTTCTTGATGTCATTTAAAAAAAAATTAGTGCTGAGCATAGATTAAATTTTTTAATCGTGATTAATCTCAATATATTTTTGCGATTAATCACAATTAATCTCAATAATTTTTTTTGAAATGATCCCTCTACTATGGCAGAATGTGTTTGTATGTTACAATACATGTGTGACACACTGCGTACAATGTGTTTGTTTTTATTTTTTTCATTTTAACTTTTTATTGCTTATTGTATTTTTTTTCCTGACAACAGGGGGCCCATCTATTTTCATTCCTCATAATATTCATTTGGAATGACAAAAAAAAAATCCTTGAATACTTGATTTAATTTAATTATTCTGCACAAAATTTAACTGGCTCAAATTTGTTTAGAGCATTTTAGGTACTGTTTTATATAAAAAGGGGCAAAGCATTTTCCAAAACATTAAACAAATAAGGCAAATCAAGCCGGTCTCAATTTTTCCTTTTGGTGGTGCGAAGCTGCCATCTTGAATCACCATTGCCATCACTTTCTAACAGGGAATTCCCACTGTAGGGGCGTTCGTGTTTAAATTTATGACTTGTAGGTAGCGAATTCCCACTTCTCAGTCCAACTGGACCACAGCAAAAGTAGCGAAATGTAGATTTTACACAGCTAATTGTGCCAGCTACTTTTGAACCCTGTGCAGCTAGTGGTGGGACGTGGTAATGCATTCTGGGACATGCAGTTTATGGTCAATGCTGGCTTGAAAGCAGCATACACTTCTTTTCAGACATTAATACATAATTGAAGAGATCGCAGGGCACAATAAATGTTTTTGCAGGCTACATTTGGCCTTGAGTTGGGCTTTAGAGACACATGAGGTGTTGCTTTCAGTCAGTACCTGTCTCTCATGGCTGGATTCTTCAGATCAGTGAACAGAGGAATGAGGTGTATGAACTGTTCAATCTTTATCTTGGTGAATTCCATTATGTCCCACGATTTATTCTGCAATCAAACCAAACAGAAAACACCACATTTTTACTAATATATGTAGAAAATAAAATGTAGTAAATGTAAAAATGTACGATTCCTGCTGAGGCGGTCCAGTTTCTAATACTGTATACCATATGAAGAAAATCAATACGGCCCAACATTAACATATACAAGTAACTCGCCAACAAATGAAACTGAAGGTAGCTGGATTTGTTTACTTTTGACACTGATTGAAATGATAATAATGTCGTTAACGGCTGGGATTCTACACACATCTCCAGGTATACTTTGAAGGTTGTGCTGCATTAGTAGCACTTTCCGTGCACATGCTTGGAAAATAAAACTTAACCTATGATCGAACAGACCTTGAGTTCTCTCTGGAGGACATGGAGCTTCTGGAACATCTCCTGCGCTGTGCTTTCCATGTTCTCCATCTGCAGCTTAGCAAGCTGAACAACCTTCCACTCGTTCCACTTGGCATCCCACTCCTTAGTGATTTCCCAGACTTCTTGAAGCTTCTCTATGTCCTGCATAGCACGTAAAGACCCAAAATCATGAAGAAAAACTTTCATATGTGGAGAAAAACCGCAGACATTTACTTAAATACTATTGATTCTGACCTTTTCCAGCATCTGGATCTTTTTAGAGGGGGGCTGTTTGAGCTTGAAGAAGGCCAGCCCATCAAAAACTGTGTTTTCCTTTTCTTTTAGAGCCTCCAGTTGGATGCGATGCTCTGCTATTAGATCCAAGGCAGAGTCAATGCTTAGCGTACTCTGAAACGGACCTGGACGTACAGATATATGAAGATACCCGCCAATTAAAACAACATAAAGACACACACGTTCATGTCTGTGCAGTAACAGACACGTGTGTGTAACCTTTGGTGTTGAACTCCTCCACAGTAGCCTCAGTCTTCTTCTTCAGCTCCTCGTAGGAGAGAATAAAATTGTTCTTAAGCGTTATTTTCTGCTTCTGCAACATGATGTCACCGTCGATCAACACCTGCTGAAAAGCGACCCACTCCACATTCAGCCCCTCGTGCATCGCCCGGACCTGGGGGCAAACCAAACAGGATGGAGTCTTTGAGAAAACACATTCTACATAGAAACATGAAATTAACATTGGGTTTGTACTTAATTTGTATGCATTGTTAGCTTTTAATAAAAAACAATACTCACAGACGTTTCCACATGGACCTCATATTTGTCAAGGATACCAAATTGTTCATGGACGAGAGAAATCTGAGCTTCTGTCTGCGCCATGTTGCCCTGGAGGGTCTCCAGAAGCTTTAAGCTCTCACTGAGCTCAGCCGGTGTCTGGGGAGGTGTTTTCAACCTGAACACATACAAACAAACAAACAAACAAATGTTGAGGATTGCAGCAGTACTTGTTAAGAGCTGGGACAAAAGGTCAGAATAAGGGTCGTATAAACATCTGGTAAGAACATTGTGTAAAAGGTGAGATCATCAAACAGTCTACAAATAGATTTAATAAGTGTGTATTGGGTGGTCTTAAATTTCCAGCCCAATTCTTGGAAGTGACCACCCTTCCTGGTTACGTAGAATTTGTGTTATGAAAACAGTTTGGGTTTAAAAGGGTCTGGTTTCTAAATACGTCAGTTCAGTGGGGATGTTTCTGTCGGTTGTATTGATCTGCTGAACTCAATAAAACTCCCTCTTCGGCTGGCCAAAAGAGACGTCTCCTCATCTTTATTTCATCTTGATAACCGAGAACCATCTGCCCCTTCACAAACAAACAAACATGGGTCACCTTCAATACAAAACAAATTCTTATTTTTATCTTTCAGCAACTTTTTCCCTTCAGAAATGACTGATAGATTAAAGTAGGGCTGCGCGGTATATGCGGTAGATGGTAGAAACGGTATGAAGTTGGCCTGCGGTAGAAATTTACCCTCTACCGTCATTTCGTCATTACGTCATCGCACCTGTGTCAGCATGGCTGCGAGTGCAGAGACAACTGAGCAGGAGTTCGAAATATAATGAAGAAATTATAGCGTTTTAAAACGTGTATATCACGCCCCACCCCCGACTCTCCCGCTGCACGTCTCGCAGAGCGAAGCTTTAACAACTGCAGTTTTTTCACACCCAACTGTCAGAGAAAAAACTTGTTTTTTATGTATTGTTACCACAAAGATGACAAAAAAGTGGATTTTCGTTCAGTCATAAATCCAACTTTTTAATGTGAAGTCGGCTTCTGCTCTGATGATGAAGATGAGCGCGCAGCAGAGCAGCAGCTGATAAGTTCAGCAGGCAGAAGCTCATTGTATGACAGGCAGATATTAAAGCAAAAATGCTGGGTTTGATTAAGATTACAGTTTTCTGAAAGGAAAAAAATGCTCTAAATATTACATTATCTTTATTTTTATGATAATTTTATACCGCGATATATACCGTTACCGTGAAGGGATTCAGTTTATACTGTGATATAAATTTGAGGTCATACTGCCTAGCCCTAGATTAAAGGAATCAATTTATATTTGTCATTAAAAGCCGGAATGACACTTTGCTCAGTCAATGCAGCAAAAACTTACTGAAATCATCAAAACAACTATTGTGAACTTAAAGTGTATCTTACCCTCCCTGTGAAAAGATAACTCCGCCCCAAGGTGAAATTTGAAAAATGCATCAAAGTGGGTAGGGGAGGGGTGTGGGTAGGGGAGGGGGGGTTAGAGAGCGGAGGTGTGGCCAGGACGAGAGAACGTGACAGCTAGCATTAGCATAATTGATGC